TTTTTTTTCGTGTGAATCCAAACCGTCCTTGCCGTGATAACCCTCTCTCGTTATGCACTTTCTCCCGTTTCCTCTCTATTTCCGTTATCGACAACGAAATTCCCACCCTCCATCTGTACAAACGGACATTCTTCAACTCTTCTGCTTCTTCTATCTGAAATATATTTGAGAATTCAAGAATTACTAGTATTCAAGTCACCCAGACATTTCTCCCTGCAAATTAAAATTTCAGATTCATGGTGTTTTTCGAATAAATAACTTAAAACACTGATACCTTTGTATTTAGCCTCTTTCATATCCTTTATTCTCTAGTCTTTGTCTGTGTACTCACACTCACCAGATTAGTGGCATAGCCTAGAGGGAGTCAGTGGTAAAAAAGTAAGCAATCATAATTTATGCTTATAATTTGATTGTTGTTGCGTTCCTTTGTCAGATGTAGACAAAAGACGCTATTTAGAAATTATAATGCTGAAGTTTATCTCTGGTTGTACGTCAGTCTCCCATCTCAAAAGCGCTAAAGTAGGATCTTAGAAGTTGACGTGATTAGTAATTCAAGCGTTCTCCACCACCGCTTCTTCAGGTGAAGTTAGAATGAGGAGGCAGGCTGACGGAAGACATTTTCGTTTTCTTAAGTTTCACCTGATACTCGCTGCACTTTCCTTTCTCTTCTCTTTCTTAGAGACATTACCCATGAATTTAACTGACCTACTTCTAGCGAAACTTGTGACTTCGTTCTACCTCTTTCTCCTTCTCATTAGAACCACATTAATTGATTTCGACCCCTCGTGTCGAAAAAGGCGATTTAGTCGAAAATTTTCTCAACTTATAGTGCGGCGAGCTCGGCGAATCTGCGCGCTAATAAGGCCAATCGAGCGGCATTTGTTGTGACCGAATGTCCTCCCTTTCCCCTGCAATCTTTTTTCGTGGATCTATGCAATTTCACTCGTTGCCGAGAATCAATGCAGCCGATTATCCCTATTCGTTGAAAGACACGACCAAACAGATTTTATATGGTTGGCATTTTGCCGGCTCTTAAAGGCGAGGCCTAATGCATTAGCGCTTTTTTCTGGCACCACTAGAATGTCAGATGTTAAACGCGCAAAAAATTCCCGTGCCATTTTGAGTAGTCCGCTTCCTTACGTCCTCACTTTTGTTCTGCTCCTCTTTCTTCGTTATAAGTATGCGATTCAGCTATCAGCTCAACAACTTACAGATGTCTATCGAACCATCAAGTTCCGATACTCCACTGCCATCGATTTCCTCAACGGAAAGCCTTGACAGTCTGGACATGTTGGAGCGGCACTTCGAACCCGCTTTCGACCAACTGGGCAGTAATCGACTGCAGAACATACTCGAGATGGATCTGCCTCGTCCAAAAGCACTCCTTTCTCATCACGGTTACGAAGTAGGACAGGGAGCCATCGCAGGTAATTCTTGTTCTTGTTATAGTGCTCAAACTGATTTTTTCATGAATTCAATCTAAAAGGTTTAAAAAATGTCTCAGGTGAACAAGTGCCTTCTAAAGGTCGATTACATAATGCAAAGTTCCAATGAGCAAACTGAATTGTGGATTTGGCTAGCACATGATCCAAAAACATCGATATGATATGTGTTTCTGCCAGAAAGAAGGAAATCCTTCATTGAGTAATTGCGAGTGGATGTCTTTCAAATTGTGTAAGAACACTTGATGCGATAAGAACTCTAAACACTCTTTTCACTCTCTTTTCAAAAGTTGATCTCCCGAAGAAGTCGAAGATATAAACTTATTCGTCCCTGTAGCAGTTTGTAGATTTACTATTTGCGAAGTAAAATCATTGCTTTAGAGATTTGATCCGTTTGAATCAGAATTTATCTGATGTTTTCGGCCGTCTAATTATGTTGCGGTTGTGCTTCCTGAAGCTTGCTGATAAACTAGGGGCCAGGTCCAGCGTCGTAAAAAAAGACTAAGTGTCAATGGCAAGACACTGCTAGAATTCCTGGTTTTGATCTGTCTTTTCTGTTTTTATGCCCAACAACAGCAAAAGATTAAATGAAGTAGCCTGACAACCTTATAGAATTTGAAACAAAGCCCACAGTTGATGTATGCTTCAAATTCAGTTCTACGTTTTAAGAGATGTCGTTTTATAGGTGGAGCCGTGGCAGTCGTAGTTGTGGTATGTGTTGGATTCTTGCTCGTATTGCTCGTTATCGGAGTACTAAAAATGAGGGACACTCCGTTGCCGCGCAGGAGGAAGAACAAACGACAAGTCAGCTTTTTAGTTTTCTTCTTGGAGTCTCACTATCGAAAACGACTTCTTTTGCAGGATGATGGCATGGCATGGGATGATTCTGGTATGAATATCACTGTAAACCCACTGGATGATGTGGAGAAGAATGTGGTGGAAGAAGAGTTTACTGAAGATGAGGAGAGCACAGATGGCGAGGGAAGGTGAGATTTGCTGGAGAATTTCTTTAGAAAATGCTATTGAAGTAAACTTTTTTCCTATTACGCATGACTCAAATAGGAAGTTAAAGGTGATGCATAGTGCAGCTTACCCAAATCAGTGGGTTACTACGAAAGTAGCGAGAGGCATGCGTGGCGATGTGTCCATACACTTCGATAGGTTTTCTATTCCACACAATGTATATGAGTAGGAAGAATTCAAAGGGTCGTTAACCAGTTCTGATAATACAATATGTAATTGCGCAATAGAATTTTAACAATGTAAAAATGAAAATATTGATGTGCTGATTATATGCGGGCTTTCTGACCAATCAAATGTTAGTATTTACCTCAAGAACTACTTGAGCTCAAGAAAGCAGTCGCGATTAAAGTTGACAT